CCTCGATCGAATAATATTCGCCGAGCTACCCGGATCAACCAACATACGTTTAACTTGAATTTTATTCATAAGGATAGATATTATGTGTCGTTATGAGGTTGTTTGATCCTTCTGCGTCTTCATCGTTGAACGATAAGGTATCTTCTGGTAAATAGTCCCGGGTGCGCTTTTGCCTCGTGATTGTGACTTTGGTGCATTTAATGTCGGATCCTACGGGATATCGACCCCACCAAAGATCATATGAATCATGTGTTGTGGTTTCTCTTGTTCGTTTTTCCTGTTTGCATCCCTGTCTCTGAAGTGATTTTTTGCTCGGTCACTCAAGAACTCTCGAAGATGACCCTCGTTGAATAAGCGACCTACCTCCCCCCTTAACTGTCTACAGTCTTCGGTTCTGTGACCATGGATCCCATGGTTGATCACGCCCAACTATGCCTTATAAAAGGACACGCAGACGTTGCAAATATAATCTGAGTATTTATACCCAGAGTCGAATCCACAAGGAATTAACCTATCAATTACTTTCGTTGGACTTACTAGATTCTACGGAATCAACTTCCTCAAACGTTGTAAATAACAGTTGATGGTATTACTAATAACTACGACTGAAAGTAAATAAACAGCTGAAAACTAACTATGCTTGAGTTGTAAACAATTATGAGAAGGTTCTAAGGTAGTGATTTCCCCTATTGATGGAATCCCTTCTGCTTATGTTTCATATAGATTCACCAAAATATCTCTATCAATCATGAGCACTCCTTTTACCGTAAATCTCTCCCGAGTAATCACAATAATTTACTAGGCGCACTCTCCCGAGATACACTAGCTAGCTTTGTTTATTACAGCTCACTTTAGATTGCACCCAAGGCTTCGTTATCCCTAATCCCGCCTTTAAACCCGCAGTTATAGATCCCTCTTATACTTTGGAAGTGATGTTGTTCAACAACTACCTAAATATGCACTCACTCCCGAGTTATGCACACTAAATAGGCACAGCTAATTGAGGATCCTGTCAATTAACTACAACAAACACGTAGTTGAACAAATAGAGATTAACTGGCAAACTATATTAACATAATCACGAAGTTCATCCTTCAATAGGTTCCATCAAAACCTTAGACAAAGGATTTAGCTACTCATGACAAAAAGAGAATAAACCACTAAATTATTCATAACGGGTAATTGCAAGAAAATAAAAGAGATAGAAAAACTCTAATGTTTGGTTGATCTTCTCACACTTGTTCTTGCCTCCAAAAGTAGTCTAAACCATGCTTCCTTTTCAACTTGGGCGAGTTTCTAGAGCTTATAAGGGTTTTACAAAAGTTTCACCGAAAATACACTTTAGTCCCCAGACTTCCAGCAGCGTGAACAGTTCACCGCGGTCGCGGCGTGGACCGCGGTCGACCGCGGTGATAGCTGACCTTACTGCCTCACGTTTTAATCCACCGCGGTCGCGCTGCGGTCCACCGCGGTCGCGGTGGAATTCTTGTCCAGGCCATTTTCTGATCCTTTATGCTCGGGTACTTCTCGAGTGGGCGTTTTCTCCACATTATCGCCTCTAAAACACTCCATGTTGCTTCCTCTCCTATAATATTCCCTGCGAAACAAAAGAACACTAGTTAGGGCATTGTGTTGGCGAATTACCTATAAAACAACAACAAAGTATGGTCATATTAAGGTGTAAATATCAACTTTATAGCCTACTATCAACACCCCACACTTAAATTATTGCTAGTCCTCAAGCAATCCACCACACTCCATCAAAATTCCTTCCCTAAGCTTTTCCCTTAACGACTCACACCATGAACATTTTACAAAAGTTGCACCTAGTAGTGAACAACCTTTACCTCAAGAATCAAATCTTTCGTACCATGCAACATTCACACTTACTCAAACCACTCTATACAAGCAAGACTTACCTTTCCTTTGTGAATCACATGCCCTCACATCACACAAGAGAGTAGTTCCACATATAATGATATTCAGAACAATTAGGAACTAAGATAGACAAAATTCGCTCACTCTCAAAAAGAACATTCACATGCCACGAAGATACACCATAGGCTTGCCCGTAGTGTAGTACTCTACTAATCGAGCCCACTCAGTCTAAGCTCAATAGGACTTTACTTGGTTGTAATGTAGGCTAAGGGACGGGTAGGATATATTTAGATATAGTGACTAACCTCCCTAAGCACTTTTAATACAATTACATTAAACTTCAAGATCATAGTTGTGTCAACCAAACACTCCACCATATTTATTTAAAACATCCCCATCCATTAGGTGCAATTTGTACAAGCTACTACGTATCAACCACTATAATTATTTATAACTTTCTCTCTTTTTTTTTCGTGGTGCTTCTTCTTATATGCTTCAAAATTCAGCACCTTTTCTCTATCTCAATGGTTCCACTCAAAAACCAAACCACCACCCCACACTTTTGCTTTTGCATATTTTCAATACCATTCAACTACTTATTGGGAGGTAAAAGGGTTCAAACAACAGGCTATTCAAACAATTGGGTAAGGTTCGCAATGTAGTTGCCAAAGAAACAGGCTTATAGGCTCAACGGGGTTAACTAAGATGTAGTGCATTCAGGTGGGTTTGCTTTATGTGTCTGGCTCAACAAAGAAATGCCTATATCACTTCTCAAACTGAATGAAACTACTATTTCGCTTTGCAAACACACATGGCAAGTTCTAGGCATCAAGTGTGAATCATGGAATACAGTAAAACTCACTCACACATGGCATATGACTCACCCCGGATTAGTTTATCAAGACATTCTCTTTTGAGTGTTCAAGTTAGATACAAACATACAATTTTAAGGCACTTAAACAAGATTCAACCCTTAAGCTAAGTGTTACACTCTAGTGTCTACTGTGTTCAGGTGTAAAAACGCTAAGGGTTTTTAGCTCGTAGCCCATTAATCGTAATCTAATAAAAAGAACAAACACAAAAACTTCCTATACCCGGTTCAAGTCAAACCCATGGAAAAGAACCGTGGCCCAAAGAAAAACCAAGGGGGAGTTGCTACACTACCTACAAATAAAAATAAAAATAAAAAAAATCTTTTTGGTCTTTTCTCTAGAGTAACTTCCCTCAAGAAAATTGTCTAAAGGATCCGTCATCAGGAAGAGTCTCCATATTCTTTTTTTTTCCGACTTAGTCCCTCAAGAACCCCGCCGAAAGAGATCCATCGTCGGGACAAGTCACTTACTATTTTAACTTTCCTAATGAACTATTACTCTAACACCAACACAATCAAAGCAAGACAAAACAAACAAAATCAAACAGTCAATTGTTGCAATTACAAACATACAATTAAGTATCCCCTACCCCACACTTAAAACGAAGACATGTCCCCATGGCTTCAAAATTTAAAGAACAGTGAGGTAAATGAACTTCCCTGAAAGTTCACTCCTGGTCGGAGATGGTGTTTGGGTTCACATTGCAAGCACGTCCTAGAGCTCTTAACCAGCCCAAGAATTTCTTCTCCGACTTCACCTACCTTTCAGCCACCGCATCCACACGGGCACCCAAATCAGTGACTGAGGTACGCAACCCAGCCATATCCTGTTCCAAAGCTGTCATACGGGTGCTCCTGCGTGGCTATGAAGGGCCTGCCACATCAACTCTCGGAGGTGGGGGAACCTTAGCTACCTCAGCATCATCATCATCATCATCGAAATCATCATCACTGTCCGCCACCGGCTCTCTTCCCTCGAGTCCAATTTTTCTAGCCCGGAATAGGGCTTTCAGAGGCAATTTCCCATCAACTCGAAGGTTTTCAGGGACTTGAGCAAGACGGCACAGCCGGGTGATTAGCGAAGGGAAGTAGTGTCCCTTGATTAGCTCAGGCGATCTAATGAACATTTCATCATGGAGGACTCGGGCGACATCAAAATCTTGGTGTGTCATGAAGCAGTAGATAATCGCTGCCCGTGGCCCATTCACATCAGTGGTATTGCTGGAGGGTAGCAGGCGGGTGTTGATGACAGTGAGCCAGCACTTTGCCTCCCAATTAAGTGACTGGGAGTGCAGAGTCTTCAACTTCGTTATCCATTTAAACGACTTGCCGGGGATACAGATTACATCAAGAATTGGTGCCCACTCAGTCCTCGGGCGGTGATAAGCTATGTAATGATCCATCTCACCCGTGAATGCTGGGAGGCGATACACTCGGCGGATGGCCTCTATAGATGCATTAACTCGGGTGTTGCGCACAGTCACAACCCCATTCTCATGTTCTGGCAAGTTCGCATAAAACTCCTTCACCAGCTGAATATTAGCCTCCTCTGGTACCTCGAAGAAGATGTCCAGCTGACACCTCCTCAACTCATTAAACATATTTGGGCACTCTACCTCTAAGGCATTCCGATCAATATGTACCTCATGGAGCAACTTCTTAGCTGCTTTCTGGTTGTACCTATCCTCCGCTGATTTGGATACAAACCGAGTGCTATCGAACTGAGGTGCACTGGCTTAGCTCCTAGCTCGTGAGGAGCCTCCTGGTCCACTAGCGGAGGACCCGGTGTTGCGTCTCTTTCGAGATGAACTCATTACACTACCAGAAAATGTGCCTATGGGAACAGTTTTTTTGATAACAGTTCACAAACCGTTGCCATAGAGGTGATATAGTAACGGTTCAAACCGTTACAATAAAATTTGGGAGGTACCAGCACACTTTAGACCTCAAACCGTTGCAAATGTAACAAAACTGTTGCCATAGAGTTTTGTGTCGCAACGGATTTGTTAACCGTCCCAATAGAAATGTATATGGCAACAATTTTGGAAAAGAATTCTATGGGAACGGGTATTCAATTCCCTCATTTTTTCCGCTGAAAATTTTAGTGGCCCGCCAAGCTAATTAGTGACATATTATTTTCTTATTTTGTTAATTTTTAACATTACTGGCCTAACTCCCAAAGTCCCAAACGTATCCCCAGTACTGTATCCAAACGTACTCCCTCATCGATACACCGGAGCTCCTCGTCGATTCACCCAAAATCGCCTCTCTGATCTTTTTCTTTTTCATCTTTGCCGAGTTTAATGGCCGAGTTTCATCAAATGCGTCTTCATTAGACCACCATAATAATCAAACCCTAGAGTTCCCAAAGCCCAAAACCCCAAGGACAGTTCCGTCGGTCTTTCCGGCACTTCGCCAGCACTTCTTCAAGGACAGTTGCTGCTCCGGCACTTCTCCCGCACTCCTTCCCCAAATTCCCAAATTAATTTATTGTTAAGAGGTGATTTTTTTTGTATGCTTTTCTTGTTTTGATTGTTCTTTTATCTGGGTTTTTAAATAGAAAGGTAACAGATTTATCAACAATTTTTTTGTCTAGCGTTTTCTTTTGGATTTTCAGGCGGTAACCTTAGATCTGTTGCTTCATCTGGTGCAGTTTGCAGGTAAATTCATACTTTTTCCTCTGTTAGCCGATCTTTTTCTTTTTTGGTTGCTTTCACTTTGGGTTTTTCTTTCTTTGTTTCAAGTTTTTGATTTTCTGATGTTGGTTCTAGTTTTATTTGCAAATTCTTTTCTTACGTGAGATATCTGTATCTACAGTCAATTTTAGAGAAAACAAAAAGCTTGAGGAATCAGAGGCAAAAAGGAAATGGTGTCGTACGTGAGCTTGTTGCTGTATGGAGTGGGAGGTATAGTGGTGGCGGGGATGGCAATATGGTTGCATTTCAGGAAAAACTTGTCTACGTGCCGGTGCTGCCTGGACTCACAAAGTCATATCCAATTACTCTGGCTCGGCTTCGGCTCTTTTACAAAGATGTGTGGCTCAGATCTTCTGATGGAGTTCGCCTTCATGCTTGGTTCATTAAGCTTTTCCCTACTGTAGAGGTCCGCTCTCTCTTAAACTCATTTTTCGGCTTTTGCGATGTATAAGTTTAGTGAGATTTGCATTCGATCTAATTACACTGAAAATTTCGAGAAGTAGGTCGTTATGTAGCTTGACTTTGTGATTTTGAAGTAAGTGCTGTTGGATTATGCAAAAAAAAAAAATTTGAAATTGCTTCTGAATTTGGTGATTATTTTTTACCTAATTTCAGTTGTACAACTATTTTTTTTAGGTTTTGACCTGAATTGTTGTGCGAGAATTTTGTTAAACTGATCTGGGAGTTACTTTGACCAAATAAGCATGGTTGATGTGATTGTTTGATTTGCTCGTCAATTTCTGTGGTGAGACTTCATATTGGAGGATTTTACTTGGTGATTGACTCTCCGGGTAATTTGATTGTGAAAATGAGCTAAAATTTTCATATAAAATGATTATTCCTGTGTCCAAAAGTTCAGCGTTTGCTAAAATGTAGTGGTGGCGAACTGTTAAGAATACTGCTACTGATGCACAGCAACATCTACTAGCATAAGTAAAAAATCCTCATTGTAAAATAGTGTGTATGGTAGTGTTATTCTGTTGCCAAGCCAAGAAGCATGGATCTGATGACAGGATGTGCTAGTCAGCCATCTCCCAGTGGAATAAAGAACCTAAATACAACTATACGATATCAACATTCACCTTCGAACTCCATAATTCAGTAGCTCATTTGTGCATTCAAACTAAATGTCTACAGTACATTTAGCAACCTAGCTGGAGCATGCAGACTAGAAACTAATGCAGTTTAGAATAGGTCACACTGGTTTTGTTGTTGTTATGCTGTAGTTGAATTATTGTGCCCAAATGTGTTCACAAGATGCATTTAGGATAGGTCAAAATGCAGTTTTTTGAAGTACTGGATTGAGGACCACTTTGGCCCAACCACTAAAATCAAGCTTTTCTTGTTTTCTTTTTGTCTTGAGATGCTGAAACTTTCAACTTACACTATCAATTTTTGGTGTGAACTTGATCTGTCATTGAAACATGTTGCTACATTCTGCATATTTAATCTTATCTTAAAGTAATGTGAAAACATTGTGCAAAATGAATGTGAAATTAGACATGTTTTTCATGTTACTCAACCTGGAATAGGCTTTAAAATCTGCAAATTTTGTAGTGAAATTAGCTGTATGAACTCTTATTCACCATTTAGATTAGAAATTACGTTTTTTTCACCAATGAATCTGAATTTCTTTTGACATGTAAGGAGTATAGGAAGTTGTTTCCAAACTGCATATATGTGAAGGACAGAACAAGTGAGTTCCGTCGGGCAATTAACCTGGTTGTATGAATTTAAACCAAATTAACCTCTGTTTGATAACATATCTACAATAACAACTGCGCCTCATTATATGAATTCCCACTGTCCATGTTGCTCTTTAAGCTCATCTCTATCCGATATTATAGGTTTGGAACGAGCTTAAATGGAGCGACATGGACAGTGAGGGAAAAAAGATATGAATTATTTGGGCGGTTTACTCGCCATATCCCCACTGGTAGTATATGACTGGCAGTTAGAAAGTAGAATTATTTGCAACTTTCATGTCATAATAGTTTGTCATTCACCTTGTCTTTTCTATAGGCAACAAAGGAGCAGGTAGGACACCATTGAACTGGGAAACAAGAGCTGGCATTGCTCTTGGAACTGCACACGGGATTGCCTATCTTCACGCACAAGGCCCCTCCGTTTCACATGGCAACATTAAGGCGTCCAACATCCTCCTCACCAAATCATACGAGGCCCGTGTTTCAGATTTTGGTCTTGCTCAACTTGTCGGTCCATCATCAAATCCTAACCACGTTGCAGGTTACAGGGCACCATAGGTAACAGACCCTCGTAAAGTCTCCCGAAAAGCAGATGTTGTTATACACACACATATCTACACTTTGTTCATTATGTAGACTAGAAACTAATCATGCTCTACCCATCTTCAATAGTATACCCAGTTGAAACCTGAGTTTGCATAATCTTAATCCATTATCACATACTCTTGATCTTCATCCACCATTAGTTCATTACATCCAGTTCATGCATAGGAGAAAGGATTGGTATCTAAAAGAATGCAGTAGTAGTCTACTCTTCTACTGAATCTTTATTGGTATTAAAAATCACATTACCTCCACATGCCAAGTAACGTTATTTTGGGGTGTGGCACAAAATCTCCCTTTCCTTAATTTAGCTTCATGGTTTGATGTGAATAACACATCTAGATTCTGGTAATTCTATTGGTATTCTTCAGTTGATCCAGTTTCTTAGACGATCCTGAATTGATATGCCTTGAGTATGGTTTTCTTGTTTGATATCCAGTTCCTTGCTTATGGATTTCTTGTTTGATGTGTGAGGTAGCGTCTGATTAATTTTTGAGCTGGTTTTGCTGCCGATGATGTATAGTTGATTAAGCATGTATCTTGGTCAAGCTGTGCATAAGAATAGAGTCCTCGTCATTTTGTTTTGTGGAATCTCTATGCACCACCTTTTTGTTACTTTTTTTAATGTCTCTCTTTCTGGGTTTTATTCCAGAGTTTTTCGATTCCAAGGTGTTTAAACTGCTGAAGGTGTTTATAACTTGTACATGTTTTTGACATTCTTGATGAGGCGAAACAATGGATTTTTGAATCAGTTTGTAGTGCTTGGAAAAAATATAAGAGTCAATTGAAGACAACTCACTTCACATCCTATGAGAATGATGAGCTTCGAATGGAGAATAGGTCAGTAGATATTCCGGAATCTCACTTTAAGGATCTTCTTAAATATTAGAACTCCGATCCTCACAAGGTAATTACATCCAGAATCTCTTGTCTTGTTTTAACATAATTGTTTTTTGGTGCACGAGTCAAAAGAATCAGAAGTAAAATCCATTTTGCTGCCCATATGTGCCAAACTAGGTTGTATAAAGAATATACCTATCTTGGTATAATGTAAAATACCAAACTCCAAATATACCAAACTAGGTTGTATAAAGAATTACAGACTCAATGTAATAATGTAATCTAGCATATACCTATCTTGGTAATTGCTTCAATTGCTAGCTGTTTTGGTTGAAGCAACTAGGTTGGTTATGGTTCAAATCTTGTTGAATTCAAAGGGAATTAGTTTTAACCCTATAGCTACTTTATACTATGTTGCACCTAGTTGTCAAAAGAATCAGAAGTAAAAGAATCATAAGCCTTACAATTAAAATGGTTTAGATGTTGATAGATGCATTCAAGAATACTTATAATTCGAGGACTAGAAGGTGAGTTTTTAATGGGTCACATGCTGGTTCCAGGCCAATTTGGTGGAATATTCACATGCTTGAAGGGTAATAACTTTATTTATCCTCTTTTGTAGGTGGAGTAGATCAAGAAATGGATGATGAAGACGATGAAGAACTAGACCTTACTTGAAATGAATTTTGAATTGTTATAGATGAATGTTCTAGGAATCTTTTGTTACCAACATTTTTGAACTTATTTACTCTCTTGAAATATACTAAACTTATGCACTCATGGGGTAGAACATTTGCTTTATGGATATTATTTGTTTGATGGATAATTTTGTATTAATAATAGTTTCATTTTATGATGTATTTAAATTTGAGTGTTATTATAATTTATTATATGTATAAATATTTATTTATAACAGGTGCTATATTTTAGTTTTAACTGTACTTATACAATAGCCTACCATAACCGTTGCAATAGGACACAAATGGCGTTCCAGTAGACAATGTAAACCATTGCAATAGGTCCCATAAACTGTTCCAAAATGATCTACAAACCGTTCCAAATACAAATATAACTGTTACGATAGCCTAAACAAACCGTAGCTATATCCAACATAACCGTAGCAATAGCTTACATAAGTGTTGCTTCAAATAATATGGTAACGGTTAAAAACCGTTGTATAAACAATATAGTAACGGTTTAAAACCGTTCCAATTGAAGAAGATAATCGTTCCAACAGAGAAAGGGTAAACCGTTGCGATAGACGTATCTACTGTCACGGCGATGCAAACCGTTGCAAGAGCTGTTCCAGTAGACCTATGGGTACGCCGGCTGATGTGACGGTCTTTAAACCGTTCCAATATCCCTATGGCAACGGTTTGGCAGTCTGTGGGAACGGTTTTTTCAACCGTTACCATAGACCAATTTTTCAGTAGTGTTATACCTATCAAAACAGAGAAACGCCTATTAGTAAGTGCGCGAAATGTGTGACTATGGGTGGTTACTCAAACTTCACCACAACCACGTCACATTAGCTCCTTATAACTCCATTGGGGCAATTTCCCAAACACCTTGTGGGCAGGGCATTATCCAAACACATTTAGCCCTCACGAGTCTATCAAAGCTCCTCCCCAATCAATTACACAACTACCCCAATACACCCCACACTTTCTCCATTCAATCACCCACCAACAAACACCTTCCCACCACATTCAATACACAGCCCCTTCACCAATATTATCAAAAATGAAATTTAAATGGACAAACAAGAAGAAACAACAAAAATCTACCACAATTACAACACATATCACTATTAAACTTAACATAAACAACAACCAAATACAAAAGAAAAGAGAAGGGATGGGGAGTATCATACCTTAAAGGAAGACAGATGAGAGGAATGGAGAGGGGGGGGGGTATGGTGAGTGAAGAAGAAGAAGAAGAAGAGAGTGTGGGGGGGGGGGGGTTAGGGGTTTAGGTAGAGA